GAGCGTAACGTGCTTTCGTAATAATTAAAAGTTCAAGGTAAATGTACAATACTATTAATATCCTTTACAGCTTCTACAGCTTTACAGCCCCTAGGAGAAATGGCTTTTATTTTTGGGGGGGAAAGAAAAATGACCAAAATAAGATGCTAATTGAACAGACAGATCCCACGAACTGAATATTTTCCTTAATTCAATGCAACAAAAGCACTTTAACACTACTATTTTTTGAGAGCAAAAATAAGGATGCAAGAAAACAGGTTTGAACTGAGGGGAACAGATTATTCCATTAGAAGCCAGTCATTTTGCGAGCAGCCCTGGTGATATTAGCAGTCAGGCTGCAGATAACCGCCTCAGCACTGTCTCTGCTCCCCATCATTCTCCTTTTGTATTTTTAGACGCTCCTTTATGTGAGAACAATGGCTTCCATATCAAACATTTTAAATGATGCTTGAAATACCAGTCACTTGACTTTGATGTCACAGGCAATTAAATCCGACCTTCCCCTTCCCTGTTAATAACAGCAATCTCGCCCAGTCTAGTACCTAATTAATATGTGCTATTTGTCACTTTGCAGTGACACGTGTATTTCAAAAAGAGGGAGCTGTGGAAGGATAGTGCTGTTGGAAAGGACCTTCTCTGTTATTAGAAGAAAGATGTCACTCGTGCTTGTCTTTCTTCGTGATCTGCGTCGTCTTTCCTTCTGTCTTGGGCTGCCATTTTGTGGAAGAATGCCACAAGAAAAGCGTGTGGGCACAAATGTGACATGATTTTTCAGCCATTTCTTCCGTCTGATCTATGAACTAGTATGCTTTCGAAAATGCTTCAATGTAATCTTATCTTGAAGTTATTAGTCAGTCGTGTTAATGTTTAATATGTTGATTACAGTAAAAAAAAAGAGAGAATATTTCCGGTTAAATGAGACTTAAAATTGAACAGAATTGCACTCACAATGGAAGCCAAAATGGGTCCTAAAATTATTAGCTCAAAAAAGTTCAAAGATAATTGGTTATGTCAGTCGATTAAAGAACTCAAGGCACTATTGTTTCCAACCATTCATTTCATTAAATGAGTCTGTGGAAAGTAGTTGAAAAATTGTGCGCCAAATTATTGGACTTAATAATTTGGATTTATTAAAAAAAAAGTTTAAAAAGTTTCAAGGAATTGTTAAAATTAATTAGGCTAATCTAAAATGTCTTGGAGACTAAAATGTAGTAATATATTTTCAGACACTACTGAGATTTCAAAAAAGTTTTAAATCATGTTTATACATGGGATACACCACTTTTTTCCATGATGCCAATGCCCTTATTTTCCATTTAAAACATCTGATGCTTTATATAGTTTCTTTTCCAAACAAAATTCAAATGAAAATTCAAATGACTAAAAATTTCAAACAATAAATCAAACACTCAATACAACTATCCAAATGATCAATCAAATGCTCAAACTACCGAAAAATGAATCAAAATGCATTCTCAGATGACAAATCAAATGCTCAAACTATCAAACAATGAATCATAATGCATTCACATATCAGAAATCATATGCACAAATGTATTTGATATTGAATTTTCATGATCAACTCAGTATTAACCATTCGCCTAATAATTCAACGATAAATCAAATGCTCAAACTATCAAGTAATAAATCAAAATGCACTCTCAAATGATGAATCAAACACTCAATCTATCAAATAATAAATCAAATTGCATTCTCATATCAGAAATCCAATGGTGAAATGTATTTAGTAATTAATTTTCATCATCACCTCAGTATAAACCGCTAGCCTACTAATTCAATGATGAATCATATGCTCAAACTATCAAACACTAAACCTAAATGCATTCTATTAAAAATCAAATGCTCAAACTACCAAATAATGAATCAAAACGCATTATCAAATGATAAATCAAATGCTCAAATATCACATAATAAATCAAAATGCATTCTCATATCAGAAATCAAATGCACAAATGTATTTGACATTTCATTTTCATGATTAACTCAGTATAAACCAGTAGCCCAATAATTCAATGATGAATCAAATGGTCAAACTATCAAATGATAAATCAAAATGCACTCTCAAATAATGAACAAAATACTCAAACTATCAAATAAATCAAATTGCATTCTTAAATGATAAATCAAATGCTCAAACGATCAAATAATTAGTCAAAATCCATTCGCAAATGATAAATCAAATGCACAAATGTATTTGATATTCAATTTTCATGATCAACTCAGTATAAACCATTAGCCCAATAATTCAATGATGAATCAAATGCTCACGCTATAAAACAATGAATCAAAATGCATTCTCTTATAAGGAATCAAATGCTCAAATGTATTTGGTATTTAATTTTCATGATCAACTCAAACCAGTTGCCTAATAATTCAATGATAAATCAAATGCTCAAACTACCAAATAATAAATCAAAATGCACTCTCAAATGATGAATCAAATACTCAAACTGTCAAATAATAAATCAAAATGCATTCTCATATCAGAAATCAAATGCACAAATGTATTTGACATTTAATGTTCATGATCAACTCAGTATAAACCAGTAGCCTAATAATCAAATGATGAATCAAATTCTCAAACCTACAATGCATATCAACCATATCATAGAATGATATCATAACATCATAATAGAAAATGTTTTGGTCTACATATCGGGCACACCACGTTCCCCAAATATTTACATTTGTGTTTTATGCATGTTCAGTAGTATGCGAACATTCATAGCAGTCGCTTCACTGCCCCCTATGGACATGGTTCAGCGTGTTCATCTACTTTAAGACGCCGAGTTTTAGAAAGCAGTTTACACAAGGAATTGATTCACTTACCTTTCGAAGGGAAGATAAACAACACAGGGAGCTGCTGTTCAGAACTTTCTCTGTAATTAAATCGTCTTACCTTGTGAATGCCGTGCCGATGTTTACACTCGTCTTTGGCGCGTTTTCCGTCGTCAGCCATTCCTGCTTGGCTGTACAGGTCAGAAACGGATTCTCTCGTTGTCAGCTGGCAAATCGGGATAACCATGCATCGCTGTGTTGTCCTCACTTTCGGAATTGCAAAAAAGTCTTAGTTTTGCTATGTACAGAGTCAATAAGCACGTATAAATTTCCGCTGTTTAGTGAAACGCCGAGCATCGCGTCAACATGGCGGCATGCTGTGAGGTCATCGAACTTACGGAACGTAAACATTGATAGATTATATTATGATACTAGGCTTATTCACCTTGTCCATGAATAAAAATACACATAGGTCCACAAACAAAATAAATAAATAAAAAATATAATGGAATGTTTTATTTTATTATCAATTTATGTTTACACAATACCAAACACTTTCCAAAGCTTTTCTTTTAACACATTGTCTTTATTAGTTTAGAAAGTAAATACAAATACTACTCTCACATATTTACATTTGTCATACGTACAAAACACAAGTAATATTAACAATATAAACTGCATGAGGTGCATACCAATACACCCACACAAAAGTTTCAGTGATTTAATCAGCAGTGCTCAAACAGGTTGCTCCATGGGCCAAACTTGAAAAAAGTGTCAACGTATTACAAATTTTTACATACAAATTATTGTTTTTTTTTTTCATTGAAACACTTTTGGCTGATATGATATAACTTATTGGTCAATTTCATACAAAAGTATAGAGTACTAGCTGTTTTTCTCCAATATATACAAAAAAACAAAACAAAAAAAACAACAACAACAACCTAAACACGTTTACTTAACATGGATAAGATAAGTTTAACATTCAACTTTCCAACATTTTAAGAGAGCCACAAGATTATACATACAGTGCTCAACATATATAAGTACACCACTCACAAATATATCTTACTATTTTACACTATTTTATTTGTGCATCTACATTAGTTTCTGTACTTAAGTCAATTCTGGAGCTTATAAAATATTATTAATTTAAATGAAGGAAAATGCAAGAGAAGCAAATAAATAAATAAAAAATAGTTTTTGTAGGTTGTTTTTTTTCAATATTTTGCTTGAATTTAATTTATTTCTAGATAGCATTTAAAGATAATTAAATTATAATTTTTTTAATTTCTAAATATGTTTGGTGACTAAACTATTATTTTAATAAATATATCTGCTTAATAAATCTGTTTTGTTTAAATGCACCAAAATACATTGCCTATAATCACTGAGAAATATATTAAAAAATATTTTTCAAAATGGGGTGTACTCAATTATGCTGTCATATATATATATATATATATATATATATATATATATATATATATATATATATATATATATATATGACAATGTTTAAAGGTATTTCTCTGTTCAATATCTATTTTAATAAGTTTTATTGACATATTGAACATATATACTAAATGTACTTAGCAATTAAAGTCAGTATTGTTGCTATATGTATATCATTAATTTTGCTGCTCCAGAAAAATATCAATTCCCTGAAGTGTGGTCGGTTTCTTTTATTTATGATTTCACTCTGACAAAATAATAATAAAATAAATAAAAACATTGAATTATTCAGATGTGCAACTTTTAATTAACAAGCCATCAGTTTTGGCCATCTTAATATTACGGATATCATGAAATAAATCCAAAAATTGACCAGTAAGTACAGGCAGCCGATACCGCTGTGCATCTATAATAGATTACAATGAATAACAGACTAGCAGGGTGGCGCAGTGGGTACTGCTGTCGCCTCACAGCAAAAAGGTCGCTGGTTTGAGTCTCGGCTGGGCCAGTTGGCATTACTGTGTGGAGTTTGCATGTTCTCCAGGTGTTCGTGTGTGTTTCCTCCGGGTGCTCCGGTGTCCTCCACAAGTTCAAAGACATGCACTATAGGTGAATTGGGTAAGCTAAATTGTCCATAGTGTATGAATGAGTGTGTACTAATGTTTCCCAGTGATGGGTTGCAGCTTGAAGGGCATCCGCTGCGTAAAGCATATGCTGGATAAGTTGGCGGTTCATTCCACTGTGGTAACCCTAATTAATAAAGGGACTAAGCTGAAAAGAAAATGAATGAGAATTAATAGCATTAATCAAATAAGTGACATGTCATTTAATCAAATATTCACAAAGCATGTAATTAAAAAAAAAAAGATATAAAAATTAGATATGAGTGTTTTTACATAGCCTAATTAGGATATGTGTCAAACCTATAAATCTGATATTCATATGTAATTTATGTTCTTCGGAGAATGATCTCTTCTGCCTTTGATCATGACAGACATGAATTCAGAGGTCCAAGGCAAAGGATTTGTGTAAATTAAGTTGATATAAGCCCCTAGATTTATGGACAATTAGCATAATCCACCCATGTGACAAAGTCTATCATGACGGAGAGAAGTCAGATGGAGTAATGTGAAAAGCAGGAGTGACATTCATTGGACAGTCTCTTTAATTAGAGCCATGTCGCGTGTGCGCAAGTGCGTATGTGCGCTTGTGTTGACAATAGCAATTTCAGCAGCGACTCAGCAGGTGGTAGAGCAACATTGTGGACAAAATCAGTGATACTTCGTCTCGGAGATGTGACCAATAGACTCCCTCAGGTCCTCGCTTGAGTGGATCAAAAAAAAAGAGAGAGAGAGACATTATAGTTGGACACAAGGCTTTGAGATGATCAGTTTGAGGCAACAGTAGAATTTCAATGAGCAACACTTGTACAGCTTCCATACCAGATGTCATTGTGGTCACGGTCAACAGAGTGTCTCATCTGTTCTAGCCTTTTCTCACTCACTTTTTCTCACTATTTCTATCTCTTTTATTTGTCTCTTTCTTTTCTTTGCTCACCCCGGCTCACACATGCGACTCACCCCATGCCGCTTTCCGCCAGAAACGGGCTGCAAAATGCTGCCAGACTTTCACATCTGTGCTGCAAATGAATAGTTTCCCTGAGCACTGTGACTCAAGGATTCACTTGTAAAGAATGCGGTTTTTATTGGATGAACTGACTAATGTACCATGCAGTGTAGTAGCACTAGCATTTTATGCCACATTGGTAGAGCCAATTAATTTGCATAATTTGGTATGGGGTTGCCATGGCTCTAAGGAAGTCACGTCTGCTCCACGTGTTCTGATCGATTCATCATTCCCTGCCATTCAATTAATTACATTTATGACAAACTGAAGCCTCTGCCCACCCGTAGGCCTCTGCGGTCGTCCTGCGATATTGCGTCTTCGCCAGAGCCCTCTGATTTACGGAGCACCTTCGCACGACTCCGCGCCTTAGGCTGAATAAAATTAATATTTTGTTTCCCATCTGGAGGACTCGGTAAAATTAATGAGGGAAGGAGGCCTGTAGCTAGAGCAAGACCAGGGATCAATTTATCCCTGCGTGTGCTACGAGAAGTGCATCTGTCTACAGGCTTGTCTTTGCATGAGCGTTTTGCTCAGTGGATAACTGGACTTCTTGACTTTGGAAGACCATCGGTCGGACACAATGGGGAACGGTTTGTAGATAACCGAACTCCTGGAGTTTACAGCTACCATAGGTTTGGAATAACTTGTGAAGTTTTGACCACTGAATTGGCACAATGCATAGTACAGTGTCGCTTGGCTATGATGTAGGGCTGTTGCAGAAAGAAAGCATAATAGCAATTCTTAACTGTTTTTGCTTGTTGGACGTCATGCAGTGTCCTTCTAAACACACTTTCAAAGCTCTTATTTGAACAAAGCCTAATAAAAAAAAAATTGTTAAACATGATAATGTTTAACACCAGACGCGATAAGCTATATTGTCCGTAAGTAGTCCTCCAGGTTGGGGGTTGAGCGTTGGGCTAACAACCCACCTCATAAAAACTAGATGTTATGAAACACCAATATGATGCGGCTAAATATCAGCTTCGATATAAATGGCTCTGGGAGTAAATAGTCACATAAGACAGTTTTTTTGCCTCCATGTCATGTATTTAAAATAATTTATTAGACGGCTGTTTGGAGTACTCACTTCTTCTGATTGGTCAGTCGCAACATTCCAGGGTAAGTTATCTCAAGATAACAACAGCTAAATAACACGGGCTCATCAGGGAGCTTTATTTCACCTTGACCATCAGTGAAAACATTCACCTCCATACACTTACATCCACATTTATTTGTTTCTGCTAATCTGTTATAACTGTTTAGCACCATCTTGTGAATGAATAATCCGTAGGATAGTATCGTTCATCATTTTTGACATGTTTGGCACCATCTTGTGACTGAATAATGCACATGCGTTTGTATGCTTCATCAGCATCACTCAGCCAGTTTCATTTCTGTCAGCTTTCCATTAAATTAAAGAATTAATAAACTATTATGGCTCAGAACAATGTTTTGCGAGTATTTAAAAAAAAAAAAAAAGTCAAGTAATAATTTAATAGCGAAACGGTGGAGTTTGCATGTTCTCCTTGTGGGAATTGAATGAACTATATTGGCCGTAGTGTATTTGTGCATGTCCTGGTCCTCCACATTGGGAGTTGAGCATTGGGCTAACAACCCACCTCATAAAAACTAGATGTTACGAAACACCAATATGGTGCGACTAAATATCAACTTCAATATAAATGGCCCTTGGAGTAAACAAGTAAGTAATCATTTAATAAGCTGGATGAAGTCATCCATGATAGTTGCTTGGACAGGATGTGAAAGCCCTCGAGTCTTATACAACAGTGCTCGGCTTTGCATTGGGCTGTCAATAAGCCTGTCAGGCTTTATTCTGCGATAACAACCGCCTGGATGTACTTTATCCCTTACTTAACCAATAGAAATCTATTGATTATCCTTAATATAAGTGAATTTTTATGTTAAAATGTATGCAACAAATCCGATCTGTGTCAGATGTGAGAATCCATTAGTTTTGTGCCAACGTAAATACAACTGATGTTTAATGTTATGCGGGTTATTTTTTCAAAGGACATCTTATTCTGTCCATGCAATTGGACTAATTTGAAGTTACAGGTAGATTTGATTAAAAAAAGCAGGGTTTGACATCAAAACAAAATATTTGTGAGACTTGTTATTTTGATCCATTTCTCCCTACTTTATTTATGGCCCATTATTTTTAATCTAAAGTTATATTAAACAGACTTTTATTGCAACAAATAGTCCTAACTTCTTCTAAAATCATATTGAAATTAGGTTGTCAACTGTATGCAGATCTATGGTTAAACTATATATCAATGAAATAACCTATAATTAGGAGACCAAAGAATTCTTTCTAAGCATAGTAACAAATGTAATTATTAATTAACCATACCCCCACCCCTCTTATATAATGTTGTTGCAACTGTCCTTTAACAGCTTTAGTGCTGCTATCCAACATCTCCCATTAGCTGTAGTAAAATCACTGGAACGCAAGGCCTCTTGTGGCTTATTGCAGTTGGTGATCAACGTCATTTATTGATTTGTGCTTTTGTGTTTGTCCGCGCCTCGGTGTGAAACGGCATGTTAAAAAGCTCTCTATATGCTAAACTCCTCTGTAAATCAGTGTCTATAATGTTTTTGACACTTTGTATTGACCTCATTTACCCATCACGTCAGTCATAATAATTAGCCTTAAATGTTGATAAATGATGATAAATTCCCCCCAGTGACACCGATGAATATTAATGAAAAGGTGTTGGGTCTCTGTTTCAGCCATTTCTTTGTCAACACATTACACTGCGGCATTATTCCACAGTCTCTGTGAGATTCCGTGGCTAAGCCCATTTAAATATAGGCTATATTATTTACAAGTTAAAACTTTTGCTTTAACGCGCAGTGAAAAATGTCGTCATCATGCATGTGGATTGGGGGGAAAATGCCATTGAAGACAGTCATTCCACAACCAGGAAAATGACTCTCAATTCACATTTGTGCAATGGTGGAAAAGAATACATTACATCAGATCATTTGATTTTATTTATCCATTTGTGGCCTCGACGCAACTTAATGTTGCATTTGTGTCACTCATTTAATGAGTGAGAGGAGATGAGAAAGAGGGACAGAGCGGGAAAAATGATGAGATGGATATAGAGAGAGCAGCTGTAGGGGAGATGAGACCTTCCCACAGAGCCATCCCTGTCCAATCAAACGGACACACACACACACACACACACACACACTGGAAGCTGTCCCTCTCAAATGGTCCCCTTTTTTTCCACACTCACACACAAACAGTATCCAGTGAAGGTGGTGGTCGTCGCTTTGAAGTATCACTTCAATTACGGGGTTTAACCCCACAGGTCAGCCCTTGATTATTTACACAAAGCCAGTGTAATTCTGTTGGAAAGCGTCGCTTTCAGGGCCATTACAAAGCAGGGCCGAGCGCTGGTGGAATAAGTGTCACGTCTTTCCCCTTCTGCTTTTGACCTGTGTGTGATAGGGTTAGACTGTGTCTGAAAAGCGGCGTTCCTTCCACCTGCCAAAGCACACACACGCCAATTACACCCCTAACATCTATACTTTAACAAAATAAACCCTGCCAAATTCTTGTTGACTGCTGTATAAAGCCTGGAACATACTCTACACCAGTACGTGAATGAAACTGACAAGCTGCGCAAGCTTGAATTCACACGTTATTGCTTTCTGAAATTTGTAATTCAATGCGAGATCTCAGCATAGCCACAAGGGGTGCTATAGCAAGGATTAGCATTAACTGCTAAGTTATTTGACATAATATAGATAGCAACTTGGAAAAAGTCTAGAAGGGATAGGTCTGTGGATTCTAGCACATTTTCTTGTCGGCTTAGTCCCTTTATTAACCTGAGATCGCCACAGCAGAATGAACCGCCAACTTTTCCAACATATGTTTTATGCAGTGGATGCTCCTCCAGCTGCAACCCATCATTGGGAAACATCCATACACACTCATTTACACACATACACTATGGTCAATTTCATTCATTCATTCATTTTCTTTTCGGCTTATAGTCCCTTTATTAATCCGGGGTCGCCACAGCGGAATGAACCACCAACTTATCCAGCAAATGTTTTATACATTTTACACAACCTATCTCTGGGAAACATTCACACACACACACACTCATACACTACGGACAATTTAGCCTAACCAATTCACCTGTACCACATGTCTTTGGAAAATGGGGGAAACCAGAGCACCCGAAGGAAACCCACGCGAACGCAGGGAGAACATGCAGACTCCACACAGAAACACCAACTGACCCAGCCGAGGCTCAAACCAGTGACCCAGCGACCCTCTTGCTGTGAGGTGACAGCACTACCTACTGCATCGCCTCACTATGGTCAATTTCGCTTACCCTATTCACCTATACCACATGTCTTTGGACTTGTGGGTAAAACCGGGGCACCCGGAGTGTGTCCATGCGAATACGGGGAGAACATGCAAACTCACACAAAAATGCCAACTGACCCAGCCGGAGCTCGAACCAGCGACCTTCTTGCTGTAAGGCGATTGTGCTGCCCACTGCGCCAGCGTGATTCCCAACTAACATCAATATAGCATACATTTTGTGACATCACAGCAGTAATTAATAGTTTTACATTACTGTGAGGGCTAGTTTTAGAGTTGGGGTAGGGGCAGACATATATAAAATGCAATTTAATGGATAATTTAATAATTAATTACTATTATAATTATCATTTTTACATTACTGTCAGGGTTGGGTTGGAAGTAGAAATTAATAAAATACAATTGATGGGTTATTAAATTTATAATACAAACACTGTAAAACATGCAGGGTCCCACACAATTCACTCATGTTCTCCTAACACAAATCGATTAAGTGAACGCAACAAATTGAAGTGGATTGAACATAAAACAATTAAGCTGTCACACAAAAATCTCAACAATTGTGTTGTTTTAGCTCATTTTTAAATAAGTCGTTTGAAAAAGCAGCGAAAAATCTCTTTATTTGAATGAATAATACTTGCTAAAGGCAGCACGGTGGCTCAGTGGTTAGCCAAGAAGGACGCTGGTTCGAATCCCGGTTGTCATTTCTGTGTGAAGTTTGCATGTTCTACCCATGTTCACATATATTTCCTCCAGCTTCCCCCACAGTCCAAAGACATGTGCTAGGGGAATAGGGTAAGCTAAACTGGCCATAGTGTATGAGTGTGTGTTAATGTATGGGTGTTTCCCAGTACTAGGTTGCAACTGTAAGGGCATCCGCTCTGTAAAAACATATGCTGGAACGGTTGGCGGTTCATTCTGCTTTGGTGTTTTCTGAAATAAAGACTAAGCCGAAGGAAAATGAATGAATTCTCAGTAACTTCTGGCTGCAGCTGTATCCCTTCTAGCAACAGCCCTCGCAATGGGACATTATCACAGATAATATGTTAAAACAATAAATTAATCTCACAGAAACTTACTTTAAAATTGAAGCAACACATCATTGATATGTTTTAGCGCTGTAGTATGTAACTTGGTGTAACCCATTCTGTGGATTAATAATAAAACTGTGTGCACATGACGTGTCATGCAGGTATTGCCACTGAGCAGGGATCAACCTGACAGATATTTATTCATCCATTTTCCTTCGGCTTAGTCTCTATTTCAGAGGCTGCCACAGCAGAATGAACCAACAACTATATCAGCATATGTTTTATGTAGCGGATGCCCTTACAGCCGCAACCCATTACTGGGAAACACCCATACACTCACCCATTCACACCCACTCATACACTATGGCCAATTTAGTTTATTCAGTTTACCTGTACCACATGTCTTCGTACTGTGGGGGAAACCAAAGCACCCAGAGGAAACCCAACACAGAGAGAACATGTAACTTAACACAGAAATGCCAACTGGCCCAGCCGGGATTCGAACCAGTGACCTTCTTGCTGCGAGTTTTACATTCACAGTAAACCACTGAGCCACCATGCCACCCTCTGACAGATATAAAAGGTTTAATAAGTGAGCCATTTTTATTTAGTATTGAGTCCACATATAACCTTTTCAAGATTCAGATAATTTAGAAGCAAACGGCTGGTTTCTGTCATGTTTTGACAACCCTTTTCATTAGATCCTACTAAAAAGGTGAAGTAGGTTTTAGACACAGATGTAAACGCACAATTTGAATGACTGGCTAACAGTTTCCTTATTTAATAAAGTTGGAAGAAATACAGCTGTGAGCCCACTGATGCACTATAAATGTCTGCATGGATATCTGGCAGCATACATCCCTTCATAAATACTCTTTTTACTCTAGTACATATGAAGCGATGTGTAATAACAAACAAAGCAATAGTACCAAAATAATGGTTTGATTTCATAAACAGCTACTCCTCCTACTTGTTATTTACTACTACAGTGTGAATTGGTGGGTGGCGCTAAACTGGCAGTGATGTACTGTAGAAGCAGGCACTGATCTCTTTAACCACACTAGCGTGTAATTAACTTGCACATTCCATAACCTCTCATTTTGGCAGATTGGGTTCATTATACGTTGTTTATAGACGAACAAGATCATGTTGAGTTCTGAAACTTACATGATGTTTTTACAGTATGATGACCTTATATATCAAAAGATCAAGGGACTTTGGATTTGTCAGTTTATAATCGGTGATGGATTCATTACATTTTAACAGAGGGGTTTCTTGAGCACCAAAGACAATGTTGACATATGTTAAAGGGGACCTATTATGCAAAAATAACTTTTAGTGTTTAAACAGAGTTGTGTGGCAACAGAGTGTAAATATAGCCATACTCTAATGGTAAAAAAAAGGATGAATTCTATTTTTTTAAATCACACTTCATAAAAAAAAAATAAAATAAAAAAAACAGTAATAAAATTTTATTGACATTTTCCCTTAGTACATATCATCAGAGAGGGAAAGCCCCACCCATTAGAAACAATCTCTCCCTCATTAGCATAGACAGCCCTGAGTGAGAAGCAGTCATCTGCTATTAGAGTTTTGAGTCTGCCACTATGCTGACACATAGGTGTTTGTAGCTCCGCCCTCTTTTGAAAAGAGCACAATCTCATTTGAATTTAAAGCGACAGTCATGAAAATAGCATAACTTCACATAAACACTCTAGGGACATCAGTTACTCATTTTACGTCTTGTAAAATAAGTATTAATAGGACCTATTTAAATTAAATTATGTTAGAACTGTAGGTTTAATCTGTAGCTTTTTTGTACACTGTAAAACCCAAAAAGTTAAGGTAACTCAATCTGTTTGAAGAAACCGATTGCAACAAACCATTTAAGTTCAAAAACGAATCCTAATGAGTACTGTAAACTTAATCTATTTGAGTTAATGAATCAATCTAAGCACAGTAAAACCCAATAAAGGAAGAGAACGCAAACCAACTGAGAACTGTAAAACACAATATGTTAAGGCAACTCAAACTGATTGAGGAAACCGATTGCAGCAAACTATTTGAGTTAAAAATAACTATTAGTAGTGTGTACTTACTCCATTTAAGTTGAAGTAATGAGGCATTTAATTAACTTCAGAGTTCAAAACTCTTTTCAAATGAATTGACTTTGAGTAAATTCTGAGTTCACTACACTCATTTCATTTGATAAAGTTGACTGTTGGGTTTTACAGTGTACTATTTCTCTCCCTGGATTTAAATCTGCACCATGTTGACATAACATGAAAGTATATGGAACAGTACAACCGCAATTGAAATGTTGTTGTATCATAAATACTGTTTTCATGGGGCTGTGTCCTTATCCTATTACTAGACATTTTCCTTTGATACTTATGACATGCCTTCCTGACCGTTCACTTCAAGTGAATTTATTTTATTTTTTTGCAGTACAGATAAACAGCACAGTGACAGACTGTTGGTCAACGTGTGAATGGCTAACGTCTGGGACATCTGAAGCAATTTATGTCTCTCCCTTAATCCTGGAGTTTGTCATAGCCACAGTACATAAACCGTTAGCCAAATATATGCGTATATTCTGTCAACATACGTTTCTACAGTAGCTTAATCCAAATTCAGTGTGTTTTTTTTTATAAGCACTTTTTAAAATTGATCTAGCGCATTGAATAATGGACCAGGCTGGTGTGTACTTACCCTCTCTATGATTTCCGAACATCTCCTCACAGCTGGGGACAACCTATTCACCACTTTTATTTTTCATGAGGACGAGAGAGAGTGTGTGTTGATGGGCTCCTACAATACATAAAAAGAGAAATAAACGACTTTCGCTGTTAGTTTATTCCGCGTTAGCTCACCCGCGTCAACCCAAGAAGCGAGTCACAAAAATGGACGCGTCACGGAGCAGAGGGATCCGTCTTGTTCCCTCATCTCTCCTTCTTTTTCTCTTTATCTTGCCTCTCTCTTCATCTATTCCTCTCTCTCTCTCTCTCTTGCATGCTTTCATGGCCACGGAAGTTGTAAGTGGCAGCTCAGGTGGAAAAATGTTTTTGGAGTAAAAAATGTATTCAATAAATAGCGGGAGCAGCATGGGGTCGGCCCAAGTGTGCATGAAACGGCAGTTTGGAGATTGGAATAATGGAACGGGAAGGGTGATGGAGCATGAGTGTACATTAAACAGTAGAGCTCCACACCCGTGACAGCCAGGCATCCGCTGGGAATACAGCCACTAACTATCCTCATATTCTTTCAATTTCAAATAACGGCCTCCACTTTCATCAGGGTGCTTTTTTCTCTCTCTCTCCCCCTGCCCTCATCTCTTTCACTTTGTTCAATTGTATTGGTGTGAATATTGAGAGAAACCTCGTTGTCATCATGAAATCAGAATGGCTTCGTGCTGCTCTGGGTTATTCATGTTTCATGACCCCTGTTACAGTGTTGCGATGCCTTCAATGTTCTTCGCCATTCTGGAAGAAGAAAACACAGTTGTGAAATCATTAAGGCGGCGGATGCGAACAGCGACACACAACAAAACAAAATCGCAAGCGTTAAAATCATAGAAGCTTCGCCCTTTTCAATGTGACATTTTACAGTTTTTATTTATTTATTTTTTTTTTGGATGCTACCTTTTTTGTGAAACTTAAAGGTGCTTTATGTAAGTTTTTGACTCTTCATTCATTCATTTTCTTGTCGGCTTAGTCCCTTTATTAATTTGGGGTCGCCACAGCGGAATGAACCGCCAACTTATCCAGCAAGTTTTTATGCAGCGGATGCCCTTCCAGCCGCAACCCATCTCTGGGAAACATCCACACACACACACACACACACACACACACACACACACACACACACTCATACACTACGGACAATTTAGCCTACCCAATTCACCTGTACCGCATGTCTTTGGACTGTGGGGGAAACCGAAGTACCCAGAGGAAACCCACGCGAACGCAGTGAGAACATGCAAACTCCACACAGAAACGCCAACTGAACCGAGGATCGAACCAGCGACCAAGCGACCTTCTTGCTGTGAGGCGAACATGCTACCCACTGTGCCAGTGAGTCTTTTTGACTCTTCTAAAACATATAAATGCCATAATATGTTAGCAAATATGATTATTATATGATTAATAATGATAAGCACACAGTCCTAGTCGGAAACAGAACTAATGACATTGTTGATACATACAAGGCTCTAGAAGATCATCAAAAAAAAAAAAATAGTGGGCGGCGCAGTGGGTAGTGGTGTTGCCTCACAACAAGAAGGTTGCTGGTTCAAGCCTCAGCTGGGTCAGCTGGCATTTCTGTGTGGAGTTTGCATGGTCTCCCAGTGTTCGCAAGGGTTTCCTGTGGGTGCTCTGGTGACAAAGTCCAAAGACATGCGCTATAGGTGAATTGGGTAAGCTAAATTATTCGTAGAGTAAGTATGTGAATGGGAGTGTATGAGTGTTTCCCAGTGATGGGTTGCAGCTGGAAGGGCATCCGCTTTGTAAAACATATGCTGGATAAGGTGGCGGTTCATTTTGCTGTAGCAGCCCCAGATTAATAAAGGGACTAAACTGAAAAGGAAAAAAATGAATGAAAATAAAATAGTCATAAATAAACAACATAACTTCTGACCATTGCCTACCCAAGTCTCCAAGAACAAGCATCAGCATCATCTATTGGAACACAACCAGAAGGTACATGAACAAGTGTAGATTAGAGATTTCCAGGCATCTCATTGTCTACGACACACACACACATACAAAAGCCACATGTTCATTTAACGCCTTCAAACAGAACCAATCCACTGTCTGACCCCCGCTCACACTCTGAATGTTTATGCATAATTGAAAATCATTATGTAAAACATTAGGCGTTTTCTAGAGCACCCTTTATATGTCGCAGGGAAGAAACACTTAGACGGGCATGAGTCCTTCATCTAATCATCTGTCCCTCTGTGGTCCTCACACTCTGTAATCTGACTGACACAATAAAAGACATTTAGCCTTTACAAAGGCCTACCAGTCAGAGCGCCTGCCCTTCCTCCTTATCTCTCAAGTGCAGCCATTACCACGGCCTCCTCTTATTGGACACGAGGCATCGATTTAACAGCATAAGTGTGGGATTGTCATGCATAAAAACTGCCTTTCCACCTTTCAAATTAGCAATCTAAGCTAAAAAGCGACATTGCTAAAGTAGCTCAGATATGTCTACGTTTTTTTTTAAAAATCTAATTAGTGATCAATAAATCCATTTAAACATATGAGACATAATTAGTAAGATCAGTTTTTACAGCAATTAATATACTGTTCCAAACAGTAACAAATTAAAAAAAAAAAACAGTAAATTCAAGAAATCAGGTGTTGCACATTTAAAACACAACAGTGATGTATAATAAAGGGGAAAATAAAGAAAAAGTGTATTATTTACTATATATACAGTTGAAATCAGAATTATTAGACCCCCTTTTATTTTTTTATTTTTTAAATATTTCCAAATTTATGTTTAACAGAGCAAAGAAATTTTCACAGTATGTCTGATAATATTTTTTCTTCTGGGAAAAAGTCTTATTTGTTTTATTTCTGCTAGATCAAAAGCAGTTTTTTTAATTTTTAAACACCATTTTAAGGTCAACATTAATAGCCCCTTTAAGCTACATATTTTTTCCGATAGTCTACAGAACAAACCACTGTTATACAATAATTTGCCTAATTACGATAACCTGCCTAGTTAACCTAATTAACCAAGTTAAGACTTTAAATGTCACTTTAAGCTGTATAGAAGTATCTTAAAATATCTAGTCAAATATTAAATCAGTTATTAAAGATGAGTTATTAAAAGTATTATGTCCAGAAATGTGTTGAAAAAAAATCTCTCTGTTAAACAGAAATTGGGGGGAAAGGGGGGGGAGTTTATTTTTTCCCCCAATTTCTGTTTAATGGAGAGAAGATTTTGTTAACACATTTCTATTTTTAATACCTCATCTCTAATAAATTTATTGGATTTATAGCTTGCACTTGCACTGGATTTATTTTTTGTTTGCCATGATGACAGTAAATAATATTTTCCTAGATATTTTTAAGACACTTTTATACAGCTTAGAGTTTTTTGTATAATGATGGTTTGTTCTGTAGACTATTGAAAAAATATATAGCTAAAAGGGGCTAATAATTGTGTCCTTAAAATGTTTAAAAAAATAAAAACTGCTTTTGATCTAGCCGAAATAAAACAAATAAGACTTTCTCCAGAAGAAAAAATATGATCAGACATACTGTGAAAATTTCCTTGCTCTGTTAAACATCATTTGGGAAATATTTAAAAAAGAAAAAAATCAAAGGGGGGCTAATAATTCTGACTTCAACTGTATATACTATAGCTGTTGTTTTGCAACTATATAAGTAACACAGCAAATTAATACAATACTTTTCCTATATGATTACTATACTGTACTATGTGACTATAGTATTACTATAGTGTTTTCAATATTTTAAATACTGTATTTACATTAAAATATTATAATATTTTTTCATGTAAATGAACTTTAGCACATTTGCAGAACAAACAGTGAATACTAAAACCAATTCTACTCTAACAAGAGAACAGCATCAGAATTAACTTTAAGACATGTACTCCTTGAGGTATGGTCCTGCCTGAGAAATAATTCCTCTACAGTTATCTTTCCATCAAGCAAGTTTCTCATGTCAGCCCAATGATTAATTAGCCATGTCACTGATTGGAGCGAGAGGTGGCAGTAACGAATCCAAAAACCATCATAAAACATCGCCATTCTCGCTATCATATGGACTTACTTTCATCGGCCAGACACCAACCTCATGGCTTCATGAATGGTGGGGGCATTACTTAATGATTTGCGACCTTTAAATGTAGCTTGTGGGGATGCTACCAGGGCCGGAGTGGAACACCTTTTCAGCCCTGGAGTTTCAAGACTCAGACCGGCCCACCTCAGTTCACGACTGACTATATTAAAATAAGGTCATTTCCAAATCAGTTTCTAATGACACTATCACGTCTTTTTTTTTTTTTTTGAGAAAACAGCTGCTTTAGAGCTTCAAATGTTCAACAACCCTAACAGTATTACATGTCTTAACAATAAAAATGAAAACAAGTAATTACTCTAACGAGGAACGAACCCAGGTCCGCAGCATCGTAACCTAACGTGCTAACCACTGGACCACAACAGCTGTGTTATGAATGGTGACTCAACTGAGTTTTATGTGCGAGAAAATAGATAAAAAGAGAAGAGTTGCGGTAATATAATGTATAAAAAGGCTGTGGTCAAGTAAAAAAAAAAAAAAATTTAAAAGTGTAACTGCTGAGAGCAACAGATTCTGGAGCTAGGGACACCGGCCCTCGTGGCCAAAAAACGGACCGGCCCACCGGGAATTCTCCCGATTAGCCAATCTGGGCCTGGATGCTACTACACTACTTTCCTAAATATATTAACTTCACTACTGAAAAGCTATTTGATTAGGCAAGTAGCGACGCTACCGCCACGCTTTCTCTAAAGATTTACTACTGATCACATAGCCAAGTTTCCCTGACAAGATGTGCATGGGAATCGCAGCTTAGGCTGATTTGCGATCTTGATTTTATTTCAAATAATCATGCAGGCCCTAACACCAAACTCTGTTGTGATGTGCATTTCAGACGTATTTCCTGTGAATCAAACCAAATCTACAGTTTGAGCTATAGGAACATTCATCTAAGCCATATTTCAGGGTAGAATAGCAAATAAAATGCTGAGTTAAAAGACAAAGACACAGTAGTCGCATGATGAATGGGGGGCTTCCTGCTCGGAGAAACACAGTAAAGCTATTCAATTTGCCGCATCTGCACCGTTTCAATAATTCATGGCGTTTGCTGGCATTTTAATGTTTTATAAGTAAATTGTGTACTCTTATGGAACACGGAATGGCATTTCATTTGCAGCTGTTGGGTGTTCACTTTATCTTTCATAAACAAGCTAAACACGAATGCTGCCGTAATGCGTTTTTGCACAGCCTGTTAACCCTTCGTTGTGCTCGCCAGCCTCGGAGAAATTCAGTTTGCGTTCGTGTAGTCGCCACAGATCTCTGCGTTATGGTGTCATTCTCACACAAGGTCATACTGCGAGAAGCTCCATATGAATGCTACAATTAGCCAGTACTATGCGCGGTTTTATTAACTTATCATTTAGTACGTGGCTAAAGATGATGTAAAAGCAAGCAAGGACACGACGCCTGCATCTCCGTCTTTGCATTCCAAGATTCCATCATCTGTGTTTGTGTTCGGCTCAGTGACTGATTATCATTACCTTTTCTTGCAAATATCTGGCTCATTATGACTAGCTAGCTGCCAACGCGAGCGCACCAAGCCCATCTCTCTGGGAGAGGAGGAGAGATCGGCCCAGCCTAGGCTCCTGCATTTGGCTATTAAACACAATGAATGTGCTGCTTTGTTATTAACATCTGTTCATCAGGGA